TCCTGTCCTTGACCTGATCTCACTTTTCTCTGGCTGACTGCCACCCCACTCCCACTTCCTGGCTCTCCATTCTTTTTCTTTCCTTCAGGAATTCTGGATAAAAAATACTTCTTTGACTAAAGGGGGCCTCTTTGCTCAGTATCCTTTGTCCTCCTTGAGTTGTCTCTGTTGAGGAACTGTAAGTCCCGTAAGGCACCAGGGGTGGTCTTAAAATGCCCAAGAAACTTCTGCAAAGCCTTTCTAATTTTTTTTAAAAAATATTTTATTGATTTTTTACAGAGAGGAAGGGAGAGAGATAGAGAGCTAGAAACATCGATCAGCTGCCTCCTGCACATCTCCTACTGGGGATGTGCCCGCAACCCAGGTACATGCCCTTGACTGGAATCGAACCCGGGACCTTTCAGTCCGCAGGCCGACGCTCTATCCACTGAGCCAAACCGGTTTCGGCTTTTTAAATTTTTTTTTTTTAAATATATTTTGCAAAGCCTTTCTTAAGACCTGAGGTGCCCCAGACCTGATGCCTGCTAGAAACCCAACTGGAAAGTAGGAATTTACTCGTGGAGATCTTTAGGGTGTTGAAGGCAAAGTGGACTACAATTCCCAGAAACCTTTGGCGGAGCTCCCCAGTACCTTCCTATGCGGCTACCCTGACACTTCTAGGGAGTTGTAGTCTGATCTTGTTGGCATCTCTCTATCTCCTCAGACTCTGTATTCAACGCTGCCAGCTCTCCTGGATAGTAACCCCTTCACAGGTGGGGCAGAGCTTCCGGGACCTGGCGCAGAGCTGGAGGCCATGCCTCCGGGTTTGAGACCGACCCTGGGCGTGTTCCAGGCAGCTCTGGAACTGACCAGCCAGTGCGAGCTGCACCCGGACCTTGTGTCTCAGACTTTCGGATACTTGTTCTTCTTCTCCAATGCATCCCTTCTCAACTCACTGATGGAACGAGGTGAGCGTCAGACTGGGACGGGCAAGGAGGCAGAGACAGGAGGCCCTGAGACCCAGGTCAAGTCAGACCTATCACGGGCTGAGGCCTAACTCTTAGGCACTCCGGAAAGCAAGCTCCAGGTCCTAAGCTGACAGGAAGGGCCCGGGAGGCAGAAGGGCAGGGTCCATGTACCCATTGCTGCTCCTACCCTTCCCCCACAGGTCAAGGCCGACCTTTCTATCAGTGGTCTCGAGCTGTCCAAATCCGGACCAACCTGGACCTTGTCTTGGACTGGCTGCAGGGGGCTGGCCTGGGAGACATTGCCATGGAGTTCTTCCGGAAGCTCTCCATGGCTGTCAACTTGCTCTGTGTGCCTCGCACCTCCCTGCTCAAGGTGATTCCTGACCCCGGGCCCCTGACGCGTCAGCCTTGCTCTGTATTCAGCTTACCCTTGGGTCTTCCCGTGGTCTCCATGTTACCCTCAGTCCCAGCTCAGACGCCATGGGGGATGCACTGGCAGCTCGAAGGAAGTGGCCAACAGGTGTCCAAACTGGGCTGCATCTGAATCTCAGTGGGACTGATTCACAGTTTCCGGGACCCGCACCCTCAGACATACTGACTCAGGAAGTCGGGTACGAGACCAAGGAATGGGGTAGTTAAAACACGCATTGGCCCTGACCGTTTTGGCTCAGTGGATAGAGCATCGGCCCGAGGACTGAGGGGTCCCAGGTTCGGTTCCAGTCAAGGGCATGTACCTTGGTTGCGGGCTCGATCCCCAGTAGGGGGTGTGCAGGAGGCGGCTGATCGATGTTTCTAACTCTCTATCTCTTCCTTCCTCTCTGTAAAAAAAAAAAAAAAAAAAAAAAAAATATAAAAATATATATAAAAATATATATATATATATATATTTAATATCACACTCATTGAACATAAAACTACATGCCAGACACTGTCTAGCGCTTCTGGTTGGACGCGAAGCCCCAAGAAGCAGGTTACTAATTGGCAATTTTTTCTCCGACAAGGAAACTGAGAACTAGGTAGGCTAGGTCACTTGAACTTCATTTATTTATTTTTATTTGTCAAACTTGTACAGAGCATTTAATGAGCACCAGGCCGTGTTCTAAGTACTTTAGAATCTGCCATATTCAATCATTGTAACAACCCTAGTAGTAGTTCCTAATCTCCCCCGATTTACAGGTGAGGAGAGCGAGGCACAGTGACTTGCCAGAAGGTATTAATTCACCAAACTGGGTTTTCTGAACCCAGGCAATCTGGGTCCAGTCTCTGGTTTTGACCACACTGATGATTCCGATGCCAGCTAGCTTAGGTGTCGGAATTTTCAGACAGACACAAAAAGTGGCCACAGTGGAATAATGAATCCACAGTGGAATAATGAATCCCCAGGTACAATCACCAGCTTCAACACTATGAAGGGATAGCTAAGTTAGTTTCTTCTCCGTCCCCTGCCTACTCCTATCTTCATTTATTCTGCAGCAAATCACTTAAAAAAATGTTTTAATTTTTACAGAGGAAGGGAGAGAAACATCAATGTGAGAGAGAGGCATTAATAGGTTGCCTTCTGTACACATCCTGACTGGGGGACTGAACCTGGAACCTGGGCTTATGCCCTGACCATGACCTCCTGGTTCATGGGTCGATGCTCAACTACTGAGCAACACCAGCTGAGCAGCAAATCCCCTTTTTTTTTTAAAAAAAAAAAAAAGCTGAGAGCACACCCTTCCCTACCATCACTTCAGTGACATCAGGCTTCACAGTGCCCTCAAGACATTGCACAGACACCCGTACATCCCACTACCTCCAACCCCTCTATGGAGGGCTTTCTATTCAGGATTTCTCAGCTGCTCCATAATGACCACAGACTTCTCACCTCATCTTCCCGCCAGGCTTCATGGAACAGTCTACGAACCGACCACCCCACGCTGACCCCTGCTCAGCTCCACCATCTGCTCAGCCACTACCAGCTGGGCCCTGGCCGCGGGCCCCCACCTGCTTGGGAGCCTCTCCCTGCAGACCGGGATGCTGTAGACACAGGTGAGGAGAAATGGGAACAGGCATCGGGGTGATCAGCTTACTTCTGTCCTTGGGACGTCAGAATCCATAGCATCAGCCCCTTCCTCCTTCTTACTCAGGATTTGGACCCCTAGCCCTCTCCTCCCCCAGCATCTAAGTGTTGGACCTCAACCCCCTTCTCCCCAGGATACGGACTTCAAGCCCCCAGCTCCCTCTTTTTTTCCTAGGGGTATAGACCCCCAGCTTCTTTCCCTTACAACAGTGGTTCTCCACCTTCCTAATGCCGCGACCCTTTAATACAGTTCCTCATGTTGTGGTGACCCCCAACCATAAAATTATTTCCGTTGCTACTTCATAACTATAATTTTGCTACTGTTATGAATCTGATATGCAGGATGTATTTTCATTGTTACAAATTGAACATAATTAAAGCATAGTGATTAATCACAAAAACATTTTCCGATGGTCTTAGGCGACGCCTGTGAAAGGGTCGTTCGACCTCCAAAGGGGTCGCGACCCACAGGTTGAGAACCGCTGCCTTACAAACTACCCTCCCCGTCACCCAGGAGTCCCGGCTCCAGGCCCTCCACTCGAAGGAACCCTTAAAACTAAGTTCCAGCCCTTCCTTCCTGGTGGACCCAAGAACCCAACTACATCGCCCGTTTCCCAGGCAACGGTGGCCTTTTGTAGTGTGAACTACAACTCCCATGATGCTTGGGACCTCCAGGAGTCGCGCTGGAGTGAACCCCGCTCTAGGAGTTGCTGGGGGGTTTTCAGTTTTTCCTTCCTTCGGACGTGACGCAGCCTAGTCTCTCTCTGACACTGCTGCCTACCGTCCATTTTCAGAACTTAACTCTGCGTTTTCGGTCTCATAGGGGACATCTTCGAAAGCTTCTCCTCCCATCCGCCCCTCATCCTGCCCTTGGGCAGCTCGCGCCTGCGCCTCACCGGGCCGGTGACTGACGACGCCTTGCACCGTGAACTGCGCAGACTCCGCCGCCTCCTCTGGGACCTGGAGCAGCAGGAACTGCCGGCCAATCACCGCCACGGACCTCCTGTGGCCACGCCCCCTTGAAAACCAATAGCAAACGAGCGCGCGAGCCTTGAAAATTCTTGGGCTGCGACTCACTGGAGCCCTCCTGAGCGCAGAACTTCCTGGGAGTTGTAGTTCCTTTCCCGCTTGGAATGCTGGGAGTTTGAGTATTTGGGTCGTAGAGGCTGGGACGGTGGGTAGATGGGTGTGGGATTGGAGTGCCAGAAGCAATAAAGGCATCTGTGGTATTAACAACGTCTCACTGGTTAAGACCCCGGAAACGCTGGTGATGATTTTCTGCGGAATATGGCACCAGGGCCCTTGCCTGGGCGCTGGGCTCCTGCCGACTCCGAGGAGGTATTTATAACCACGGCCTCGGCTTGCCCTCTTGCACGTAATCCAACCCGGGAGCTCGGGGGCCTCCCACCAATCTCGGGGCAGAGCTCGGAAGCGTGCTCTGCCAAATACCAGCGGGAACCAGCCCTGCTCGAGGGTTTTTTTGTTTGTTTTGTTTTGCTTTTTTCATGCTCTCGCTTTGATCCCCAAAGTCCGTACTCGAGCGCCCTCCTCCCTCAGACCCCGGAGTCGGTTCCCAGCCCATTCTGGACCCGCGGAGCCCCAACACCTCTAGTCCCCATCCATCCCCAGCACCCGCAAGCCGGGGCTCCCTGCCCACGCCCCTCCCCCGGGAGCCCCGGCCCCGCCCACTTCCCTGCCAACCCAGGAACGCGGGTCCCTTTGCCCCTCCTTCGGGCCGGGAGTCCGGGAGTCCAGTTGCACTTTTCACCCCCCTGAACCCGACCCCTGCTGCTGCGTCAGGGAAACGCTGAGTGACAGGTGGCACCTGCCTGCGGGTCGGGACGCGACCACCTGCCTCCGCGGCTCACCCGCCGCCACGCCCCGCACCTGCTCCTGTCAGTCCGCCCGCCCCGCCCGCCCCGCCGCCCAGGGACGCGGAGGAGGAGCGAGCGGGGAACCCCGATGTCCGCCCCGCCCCAGTCCCTCTCAGCCCCAGCTCCCGCCCCTCTCACCGTCCCAGGCGGGGCTCCCAGCACGCCCCAAAAGAGGGGGGCTCCCCAGCTGGTGGGGTGGAGCTGCAGCCTCCAGCCTAGACCTCGGGACTCAACCTGCTCAGAGCACACACAGCCACACCAGCCACCGGTGAGAAGCCCCTGGGGTGGGGGTGGGGGTGGGGGTCAGACCCACTGAACTCTTCGGTCCCCTCTCTGGACTCAGTCCCTCCCCACGGACCATGGTGGCGGGCAGCCAGCCGCTCCTCCCCGAATGCAGAGGGAAGAGGCTTCCCCCGCCCAGGGGCCTACCAGGTCTCCTTCCCCTCTTGAGCCAGGATGTTGGCTTCTAGCCCCTCAGAGTATGAGTTCCAGCCCGTCTCCCCTTTCTCCTTCCTCCCTTGCATAGACCCAGGGGCCCAGGGTTTGCCTTCTTAGGGCCTAGGAGTCCCAGACCCCAAGTCCTTTCCCCCCCAGGGTCCAGGAATTAGGGCCCTGAGCCCCGCCCTCGGACCCAGAAATCCAGGCCCCCAGCCCCTCCTCCCTCAAACCCAGGAGCCCAGGCCCTCAGCCCCTCCTCCCTCAGACCCAGGAGCCCAGGCTCCCAGCCCCTCCTCCCTCAGACCCAGGAGCCCAGGCTCCCAGCCCCTCCTCCCTCAGACCCAGGAGCCCAGGCTCCCAGCCCCTCCTCCCTCAGACCCAGGAGCCCAGGCTCCCAGCCCCTCCTCCCTCAGACCCAGGAGCCCAGGCTCCCAGCCCCTCCTCCCTCAGACCCAGGAGCCCAGGCTCCCAGCCCCTCCTCCCTCAAACCCAGGAGCCCAGGCTCCCAGCCCCTCCTCCCTCAGACCCAGGGGCCCAGGCTCCCAGCCCCTCCTCCCTCAGACCCAGGAGCCCAGGCCCCCAGCCCCTCCTCCCTCAGACCCAGGTGTCCAGGCCCCCAGCCCCTCCTCCCTCAGACCCAGGGGTCCAGGCCCCCAGCCCCTCCTCCCTCAGACCCAGGGGTCCAGGCCCCCAGCCCCTCCTCCCTCAGACCCAGGGGTCCAGGCCCCCAGCCCCTCCTCCCTCTGTCCCAGGGGTCCAGGCCCCCAGCCCCTCCTCCCTCAGACCCAGGGGCCCAGGCTCCCAGCCCCTCCTCCCTCAGACCCAGGGGTCCAGGCCCCCAGCCCCTCCTCCCTCAGACCCAGGAGTCCAGGCCCTCAGCCCCTCCTCCCTCAGACCCAGGAGTCCAGGCCCTCAGCCCCTCCTCCCTCAGACCCAGGAGCCCAGGCCCCCAGCCCCTCCTCCCTCTGTCCCAGGAGCCCAGGCCCCCAGCCCCTCCTCCCTCTGTCCCAGGAGCCCAGGCCCCCAGCCCCTCCTCCCTCTGTCCCAGGGGTCCAGGCCCCCAGCCCCTCCTCCCTCTGTCCCAGGAGCCCAGGCCCCCAGCCCCTCCTCCCTCTGTCCCAGGGGTCCAGGCCCCAGCCCCTCCTCCCTCAGACCCAGGGGTCCAGGCGCCCAGCCCCTCCTCCCTCAGACCCAGGAGCCCAGGCCCCCAGCCCCTCCTCCCTCTGTCCCAGGAGCCCAGGCCCCCAGCCCCTCCTCCCTCAGACCCAGGGGTCCAGGCTCCCAGCCCCTCCTCCCTCAGACCCAGGAGTCCAGGCTTCCAGCCTCCTCTTCCCTCAGAGCCAGGAGTCCACCCTCAAACCCAGGAGGGTCTCCTCCTCCCCCAGGATCCAGAAGTTGTGGCCCAAAGCCTCTCCGGTCTCTGAGTCCTTCAGGCTGTTTCCCTGCTGCGTCCAGGTGCAGGGGCAGCCTCCTGACCTCCTGCAGGGGTCCTGCCTTCCCCCCTGTCCAGGTCCCTATCCCAGCCTTGGCCATGACCCTGGCGGCTTCCTCCCAGCGCTCCCAAATCATTCGCTCCAAGTTCCGCTCTGGTGAGATGTAGGGAGGGGGTTCTCTGGGCTGGGGAATACCCTAACTCTGGGAGTGTGCAGGGTGGGGTGAGGTGGGAGGGGGGCGGTGGGGCCCGAGAGGTAAGTGTTTTTCTGTGCAAAAGAGCACTCGTGCCTAAAGGAGGCCTCAAGTTGTGTTGGCTCAATGAGTGTGCAAATGGCTAATGCAATGCTGCTGGGAACGGTGGGGAGTGGAGTGGGCGGGTAGAGGTGGGTGTGCAAAGGGTCAAAGGAACAGGGGCTTAACCTGACACGCGTGCAAAGTGACGTGCACAGAGCGGAGACTTCAGAGCAGCCGGGTGGGACCGTGAGCTACCAGGCCTCGAGAGGGTCAGCGTTGTAGCTGAGGTCCCAGCGTCGGTGGAAAGTGTGCAAGTGAGTGAAACCAGAGGTCAATGCCCGTGTAGGCAGAAGGCACTTGAGTGTGCCAATGAGTGTGCTGCGCGGCTGGATGGGTGCAAAGACACAATGACCCAAAAGAACAAGGAGCGTGCAAAGAGTGCAGGTACACAAGAGCAGAAATGTGTGAAGGGACCAGATCCTGACTGTGCATGTAAGTGTGCTACTGTGGCTGCGCGAGGGGCAAGCCAGAGTGAGCCGAGGGTGAGGAGCGAGTGTCACAGGTACATACAAGGGCACGGTAGTGGCGTGTGTGCAAAACTAGGGCCCAGGGGAATGCGCGTTCGAAGGTGGGTGTGCGCAGGCAGTGCAGAAGGCCGAAGTGCGTGCGAGGCGGAGCGCCTGGATCCAGCGGGCGAGGTGCAAACGGGCCAGGCTGCCAAGAGGGCTGCCAAGAGGGAGGTTGTGCCGGGGGTGGGTGGGCACACACTCCTCCAGGGGGCAGGTGGAGCCGGGGGGCAGGGCTGCCTCCTGCCTGCACGCTGGCTGGCACCTCGCCCCAGAACGGCTCTGGGCCTCGGCGCTCTGCTGGCAGGGAGCAGGCGGGAGGCCCAGGAAAGGGAGCGGGCTGCCTGCCCACCGCCCGCCGCAGGGCTGTGTGTGTAAGGGGGCTGGGCACGCGCGTCCCGCCAACAGCAGCAGCTCGAACCGCCTGCCAGGCCGGGCTCCTGGACACTCCCTGCCGCCTCTCTCCTCCCACTCCCTCCTTCCCTCCACAGTCCTCCAGCTCCGGATCCACAGACGGTATCAGGACCGGAGTAAGTGTGGGCCCTGCACGGGAGGGGATGGCGGCCCCTCTCCCCCGGGGGGCCCCCTGGAGTGCAGCTGCCGGGTTTCCTGGCTGGTTTCAGAGCCCCAGTCCCTCTGCCCTGGAGACGCCGAGACCCATCCTCTCGGAGGTCCCAGGAGTACAGGTCCCCTGCACCCCACCCCTCGGAGCTCCTTGGTGTCCCCACTTCCAGTGAAATGCGTGCACCCAGAAGAGAACGCCCCAGGCTCCACCTTGGGTGCACACCCGAGTCTCAGGACGTGGCTTTCAGCTTCTCTCTCTCCTCAAGGCCAGGAGTACTGGCCCCACCCCTGTTCCAGCAAACCCCCAAAATCCCTGATCCTCAGCCACCGCACCCCTTGGGGACCGAGGCCGGGATTCCTGACTTTCTGGAGCGTGGAAAAGTCTGGCTTTCGAGCACTTCTGCCCATAGAGCCACAAGTCGGGGCTCCCAGCTCCCACCACTTGGGTTTCGCTCCCTGGTCCTGCTGCCCCACATGGGGGCGGGGGTGGGGTGGGGGTGACCGAGGCCTCCGGGCCCCTCCTTCCCACACAGCCTCTTCCTCCCGGCCCGGCTGGCTGCCTGGAGGCCTCGCGGGGCCCTTCACCTCCTCTCCAGTCTCCGACCCAGATCCGTGGATCTCAGCCTCCGGCCCGGCTCTGGCCCCCATCCCAGCCTCGCCCTGCGGCCCCGCCTCCTTCCTCTCCAGTCCTGGGGTCCTGCGCCCCGAGCCCCCACGCTGCCCTTGGAGGCCCCAGAAGAATGTGAGTCTGCACCAGAGGGAGGGGAAGCCCCCGGCAGCCCGGCCTCGGTCCTCAGTCCCGCTGGCCTCTGCCCCTCGCTGGTGGTGCCCAGCTGACGCCCTACTTCGCGTGGGGCTGGCCAGGGAAGGAGGAACAGGGCTGCGGCAATGACGTCACACCTGCTTTTCCAGGCGACCCCCAAGACCACCCAGCGCTGGAGGGTGGCCGAGCCCCAGGGGAGCCTGACCTACCACCAGTACCTGCCCCCAGAGCCCAGGCAAGGGTCCAGGGCAGACCCCCAGGCCCCAGGGCCGGCCGGGGGGGCCCCGGGGCCGCTTCCGTGGGCAGAGACAAGCGCACAGCAGCCGCCTCCTAGGTATGGCCCCCATTTCTGTCCTCCTCCTTCACGCCCAGAGTCCAAGGTCAGGGGCGGCGGCCCATAGACCCCACTTCCCCCGGGACGCCGGAGTCCAGTCCCCAGCCCCTCTCCCTGCAGTTCCCCGGAGGCCCCCCTCAGCCCCAGACGAGCCCCCCCTTTCCCACGCCCGGGAACCGGCCTCCTGGGTTGGTCCTCGGAGACCCCGATGCTGGGCCCGGTCCCCCTCTGACCCGTTTCCGCCCGCCGGCCATGGCAGGATGAAGGCCACCTCCCTCCCCGCCGGCTTCCCCGGGGTCTCCAGCCCCGCGCCGCCCCCGCACAAGTTGGAGCTTCAGACCCTTAAACTGGAGGAGCTGACGGTGAGTGCGGGGCAACTTCCCGGGGGACCTCTCCCTCCGTGGGGGGACCCGGAGGCTGACCCTGCGGCTTCTGCCCATCAGACCCAGGAGCGGGAGTGTGTGTGTGTGCGTGCGTGTGTGCGTGTGATCCAGGAGCGGGTGTGTATGTGGGTGTGCGTGTGTGTGTGTGATCCAGGAGCATGTGTGTGTGTGTGTGTGTGTGTGTGTGCGTGATCCAGGAGCATATGTGTGTGTGTGTGTGTGTGTGTGATTCAGGAGCGGGAGTGTGTGTGCGTGAGTGTGTGTGCGTGAGTGTGTGTGTGTGTGACCCAGGAGCGGGAATGTGTGTGTGTGTGTGTGTGTGTGATAACCAGGAGTGTGTGTGTGTGTGTGTGTGTGATAACCAGGAGTGTGTGTGTGTGTGTGTGCGCGCTTGTGCGCGCTTGTGCGCGCGTGTCCCCGGTCACTCTCGGGCTCCGCCGTCCAGCCGCCCGCGCCCAGAGCCCGCCCAGCGAGGCCTCTCCCCGCCCCGCCCCAGGTCTCGGAGCTCCGGCAGCAGCTGCGCCTGCGGGGCCTCCCGGTGTCCGGGACCAAGTCGACGCTCCTGGAGCGCATGCGCGGAGGCGCCCCATCCCGCGAGCGGCCGAAGTCGCGGCGCGAGGAAGGTCCCGCGGGCGCGCCCTGGCCACGCCTCAGGCCCAAGGCCCTCGCAGCCGCCCGACGTCACGGCTCGGTGAGGGCGGGGCTATGCGCGTGTGGGCCAATGAGGAGAAGACGCAGCGGGCCGGGCGGGAGGTGGAGAAGGGAATTGCCGGGGAAGCGCGGGGCGTGGTTAAGAGGAAATAGGGGGGAAGAGAAGCCAATGAGAGAATAAGGGGCGTGGCCAGGGTCATCAGGGAAGGGCCGGGCAGGGGCAGGGGGTGGAGCCTCGGGTTAGGAGTGGGCGGGGTCGCGCGAGTGGGCGTGGCTTATAGGACCATCCTCTGGGTTCTAGTCCAAGTCCAGCCCAGCATCTCCCCCGCCGCCTCTTTCTCGTGCCGTGGGAACCCACGTGCCCACTCCGGCTCCGGCTCCGGCTCCGGCTCCGGCTCCCGCTCCCGCTCCCGCTCCGGCTCCGGCTGCAGAACCGACCCCTTCCGCAGCACCAGCCGCAGCAGCCCCGACTCTGGAGCAGGAGCTGCAGGAAGCGATCCGGAGGGCGCAGGTGAGAGGCCGTGGGCAGGTGGTCTCCGGTCGGGATTCGGGCCAGAGTCCCAGGTTCACTCCGCTTCTGCCTGTCCGTCCGCAGTTGCTTCCGAACCGGGGCATCGATGACATCTTGGAGGGTCAGGACGAGCCTGATGGTAAATCCGAACTCCTAGATTTTGGGGCAAAGGGGGGCTGAGGTTCTGGACTCCTGGGAACGGGGAAACCTCTAGCGGGCTGGGGGCCGGACCCCCGCCTTCCTAAGCTCACCCTCCATTTCTTCCCCCGCAGACCTGCTGCCCCCTATCCCCCTGGACTTTCCTGGCTCCTTCGACGTGCTGTCCCCTTCCCCAGACTCTGAAGGCCTCTCCTCTGTCTTCTCTTCCTCGCTCCCGTCCCCCACAAACTCCCCATCCGCCTCTCCCAGGGGCCCCACGGACTCCTTGGACTGGCTGGAAGCTCTGAGCGGGGGTCCTCCGCTGGGCTGCGGCCCCCCAGCCCCCAGCATCTTCTCTGCTGATTTATCAGACTCCGGCGGCCCCCGGCTGTGGGACCTGCTGGAGGGTCCATGGTGATGGATTCTAGGGTTTCAAGGGACGGAGAACCGGTAGGGACGGGGAGTCACAGAGACGGACTCCCTGAGGGAGGGGTTGGAACCCTGCCCACCCCAGACCCAGGATCAGAAGCAACTCTCATCTCACCTGGGCCCTAAACTGCTGCCGAACACGCCAACCACCTGACTGTCCCTGCCCGACCTCCAGGGCTGTGTGCTGGGGGCCGGGAGTCTCATTCGCTGCTGGCCGGGCAAACAAGCTGCTTGCTGCTTCCCGCAGACCCCTCTCCGATGTCTTCTTCTCATCCCGCCAGCTGCGGGGCTACCTGCGGCTGGGGCACCTGGAGGCTGCTCTATGCTTTTGGGGTGCAGAGAGGGGGAGGGAGGAGTGGGGAGGGAGGACCGGGAGCTAGACCCTTGGCTTCTGGTTGGAGATGAGAACATCAGAAACGGCGTGTCCCAGGTCAGATTCTGAGCAGAGCCTGAGGCAACACTCCTGTGTCCATGACTTCTTAAAGAGGTGCTCCCAGGAGAAACCAAAAAGGAAGGGGTGAGCCAGGACAGCGAGGGGGAGAAGACCAACAGGAGGGTGACGTCAGGTGAAGTCCCCATCTCAGCCCAACCCCGGAGGATGAATTAAGTTGCAGGGTCGTGCCCGGCTGGTGCGGCTCAGCGGCTGAGTGTCGACCCAGGAACCAAAAGGTCACCGGTTCGATTCCCGGTCGGGGCACACGCCTGGTTTGCGGGCTCCCTCCCCAGCAGGGGTGCATGCAGGAGGCAGCCGATTGATGATGTTTCTCTCTCGTCGATTTTTCTACATCTCTCTCTAAAAATCAATAAAACCATATTTTTTTGCCGAAACCGGTTTGGCTCAGTGGATAGAGCGTCAGCCTGCAGACTGAAAGGTCCCAGGTTCGATTCCGGTCAAGGGCATGTACCTTGGTTGCAGGCACATCCCCAGTAGGAGATGTGCAGGAGGCAGCTGATCAATGTTTCTCTCTCTCATCAATGTTTCTAACTCTCTATCTCTCTCCCTTCCTCTCTGTAAAAAATCAATAAAATATATTTAAAAAAAAAACAAAACCATATTTTTATTTTATTTTTTAAGTATTTTTATTGATTTTTTTACAGAGAGGAAGGGGGAGGGATAGAGAGTCAGAAACATCAATGAGAGAGAAACATCCATCAGCTGCCTCCTGCACACCCCCTACTGGGGATGTGCCGGAAACCAAGGTACGTGCCCTTGACCAGAATTGAACCTGGGACCCTTCAGTTCACAGGCCGGAGCCAAACTTGTCAGGGCTTTTTTTTTTTTTTTTTTTTTTTTTTTTTTTAAAAAAGGTGCAGGGTCGTTCCACCTTGAGGCAAAGGGAACTGGGCCTTTAAGGCAAAGGGAGATCCCAGTTTGGGTTTTTATCCCTGAATAACAAACCACCCCAAACGTAGAGTCGTGATTGCTCACAATTCCAAGGGTGGACTGGGCTCAGCAAGGCAGTTCTTCAGCATCGTCTGATGTCAACTAGGGCTGCAGTCATCTTAGGGCCCAACCAGCTGCAAAATCCACGATGCTGCTCGCAGACATGCCCGCGCCTTAGCAGGGACGGCTACTGGGCTGGACTCGCCTGGGCTGTGGGCCTCTGCATTTCTCTCGCTCTCTGCGTAGTCTCCGCCCTCTCCCTCTCCACATAGCCCCCCCAACAGAGGCAGGGACTCCTTACATGGTAGCTCAGGGCTCCCCAAAGTGAGCGTTTCTAGGGGAGGAAGCAGAACTTTCACCATTTTCTTTAAAAAAAAAAAAAGATTTTTATTGATTTCAGAGAGGAAGGGAGAGGGAGAGAGAGAGAGAAACATCAATGATGAGAGAGAATCATTGATCGGCTGCCTCCTGCATTCCCCCTACTGGGGATCGAGCTGCAACCTGGGCATGTGCCCTGACCAGGAATCGAACCTTGACCTCATGGTTCATTTGTCAACACTCAGCCATGGGGGCCACACCGGCCGGGCACCATTTTCTACTGGTTAATGCAAGTCAGGCCAATCCAGGCTGAATATGGAAGGGGGAGGGATAGAGAGGGCTGGAGGTAACAAAGGGGATAGGGGACTACTAAATGTGTTAATATCAGGGTGGTGGTGGCATAGTCATTGGAGGCCGTATTTGGAGACTTGCTATTATACCCCTCTAGTTAGTCACGGGCTATGGGTCCTGAGAGGAGGCTGGGACACAAACTCTCAAGCACTTTGACCCCACGGGTGATCCTGGCAAGAAGGTCACAGGGTAATTGGTTAGCAGCAGAGTTTTAAAATGTACATATTAGTATTGTTCAGGTTTGACGAAGTCAACAGATCAGGATCTGATTGCCATTGAAAAGAGAGTTTGTTATTCTCAGTTCCCAAAACAAGGGAATACTCCTGCCCTAGTCGGTTTGGCTCAGTGGATAGAGCGTCCGCCTGCGGACTGAAGGGTCCTGGGTTCGATTCCCGGTCAAGGGCACATACCTCAGTTTCAGGCTCGATCCCCAACCCTGGTTGGGCGCATGCGGGTGGCAACCAATGGATGTGTCTCTCTCACATTGATGTTTCTCTCTGTGTGTCTCCCCTCCTCCCTTCCACTCTCTCTAAAAGTCATTGGAAAAATATCCTTGGGTGAGGATTAACAACAAGGACAAAGAAGGGAATTTTCCAACCCATGCAGGGCCACATGGGGAAGCCCCAGTGTCAGCCAGGGGGCAAAGGGAGAGAGGAAAAGAGCATTTATTGTGGTTCCCTCAAGAAGGAACAGCTGAGGCAGAGCCCTAGCTGGTTTGGCTCAGACTGAAGGGTCCCGGGTTCGATTCCACTCAAGGGCACATGCCCGGGTTGTGGGCTCTATCCCCAGTAGGGGGCATGCAGGAGGCAGCTGATCAATGATTCTCTCCCATCATTGATGTTTCTATCTCTCTCTCCCTCTCCCTTCCTCTCTGAAATTAATAAAGATATATTTTTTAAAAAGGAACAGATGAGGCAGGTGAGCCGGTGTGAGGTTGGCTAATGCAAGTGATTTCAGCAGGCTCTTGGGTCCCCAGGTGCCTGGAGCCTGGCCCTGGGGCAATCAGGCAGAGAACAGTGTCCTGGGAAGTGGCTGTAAGTCCAGGCTGTGGGTTGCTAGGTTTGCATAGGAAAGGCCTGTGCACAGGCGGGTTCTTTGTTACCTCCAGGAAGTAGCTGGCCCTGTGGGGGGCAGTCCCTCCACTGTCAACAAAGCCCCAGATGTCAAAACACCACAAATACTGTATATACAGAAGAGGAACAAGGCATCCTTCATGCACAGAGCTCACAGCAGCTGGGGGCTGGGTGAACAGAGCTGGTAAGGGGACCTGGGCTGGCCACCAGCCGTGTCCACTCCAGGTGGGAAAGGACACGATATCAGGACAATCCATGTGACGGGACCGAGAGCCCGTGGCGTCCCCTTGCCTTGCTGTCAGTTTCCTCACCTGTACCTACAGCCCCGTGTGGCTGAGAGTGCCTACAAACGGCCTGGCGTGTGTCGGGATGGCCGAGTGGTCTAAGGCGCCAGACTCAACCTGGGCCTGGCACGAGAGACGTGCCAATGAATAGTGATCACCGTTATTAGTTTACAATCAACAATCCTAGGCCTCGACGTGTGGAAAACTGTTGGACATGAGCGACTCCCCTAAAAAAGGGCAAGGGAATGCATGCTGGGTACCGTGAAGCAAAGGCAATGTTTTTTATTAATTCGGATAGGAAGGAAGAGGGAGAGAGAGATAGAAACATCAATGATGAGAGAGAATCATTGATGGGCTGCCTCCTGCACGCCCCCTACTGGGGGTCAAGCCCGCAACCCGGGCATGTGCCCTTGACCAGAATTGAACCTGGGACCCTTCAGTCTGCAGGCTGATGCTCTATCCACTGAGCCAAACCGGCTTGAGCCAAAGGCAATCTTTGGGCTTCAGAAGAACCCCTTTGCAGATGAAGTCATTGAAGATCAGAGAAGGGGAGTGATATGGCTAGTGTCTCACAGATGGGAGGGAGGGAGAAGAGAGAGAGGAACATCAGTGATGAAAGAGAATCATTCATTGATCAGCTGCTTCCTGCACGCCCTGCTGGTGACCGAGCCCGCAACTTGGGCACGTGCTGTGATCAGAAATCGAACTGTGATCTCACGCTCATTCCCTGAGCCACGCTGGCTGCGCTGGAGTGGGGCTTTCAGTTAATGAGCCCACAGCTTGAGTCCTCAGAGTTAAAAAAAAAACAAAGAGCCTCAATCTCTGCTCTGGTGAAGCTCTGACATCTGCCAAGAGAGAGTCCCGCTGCGGGGTGATGAGGGTGTTCAGGGCCGGGGCGCGTGGGACCCCAGGGCCGTGGCGCCCAGGAAAGGCCAGAAGCCGCGGGGCCATGGGCAGAGGGGTCGGGGAGCGGATTTTGCTGACTCTCCAAGGACCGGGCAGAGCGGGTGGAGGAAGCGCCTGGAAGAGGGCAGCCTTGTAGAGGCAGAACATGCAAAGCTGAGGGTGCGAAGGGCACGGCCTTGTGGGTGGCCGCTGGGTGTTGCTGGACCCTTCATGTCCGGCTGGACACGGGGGGAGGGCGGGGGGGGGGGCGGGGACGGGTACAGCCGGCCCTGGAAACATCAGGGAGGGGCGTGGTGGGCTCCTGTTTCTCTTTCCCTCTGGACCAGTGGTTCTCAACCTTCTGGCCCCTTCAATACAGTTCCTCATGCTGTGACCCAACCATAAAATTATTTCCGTTGCTACTTCATCACTGTCATGTTGCTACTGTGATGAATCGTCATGTAAATGTCTGATATGCAGGAGGGTCTTAGGCGACCCCTGTGAAAGGGTCGTTCGACCGCCAAAGGGGTCGCGACCCACAGGTTGAGAACCGCTGCTCTGGACGCTGGAAGGCTGGATCCACCTCCCTGTCCACCTGCCGGTCTCCCCCTGACTCCGGGCCCTGCCGCTGCCGCCATCTCTCCCGCGTCCGGCAGAGGGCAGCCGCGGGCCGAGTGCCTGCGGGGCCGGGGAACAGCCGGAGAGTGTGGGCGGCGGCGGAATTCTCCTGAAGGCGGGGGTTTGAATGGAGGCGCAGGCAGGGGTGAGAATTTGAACCCAGAGCCAGGGGCACGGCTTCGATCCTGCACTGAGGCGTGTCGCCAGCCTTTCTCCAGACCTGTCAGTCCCTCCCTCCTTCCCCCCCATAAGAGGGCTAAGGCTCCCCCGGGGCGGGGCGGGGCGGGGTGGGGGGGAGGAGGGAGTTGGGAAAACTGAGGTCTGAACCAACGTGGGGGCGAAGGAAGCCGGAAGTCAGCTGGGGAGTCCTGAGCAGCCCCAGGGGTCCCCTGCACCGCGCTGCCGGGGTCACAAGACTGTGGGAGAATGAGCACTCAGACGTGCCTGCACTGAACATCACACTGTCACAGATCACACAGCAGCATTGAGTTTAAATGCATGCGCCCTGACCCAGCAAGTTCACTCCTAATAATATATCCTTAAAAAGTGATATTAGCCCGAGCCGGCTTGGCTCAGTGGACAGAGCGCGGGCCTGGGAACTCCAGGGTCCCGGGTTCGATTCCGGACAAGGGCACATGCCCGGGTTGTGGGCTTGATCCCCAGTAGGGGGCGCGTAGGAGGCAGCCGATCCATGATTCTCTTTCATCATTGATGTTTCTCTCCCTCCCCCTTCCTCTCCGAAATCAATTAAAATATATATATATATATATTTTAAAAGTGATATTAGGATGCATAAAGTTTTGCAGGTAGAGCCCACAGCCAATAGACATAA